GAGAAGAACATGAGTGATTGACTCAAGACATTTTTTATTACAAGGGTTTTCTGAGTAGGCTACCTTATTGCACCTGCCATAAGCAACAGCAGAAGGCGTGGCGTTACATCTGGCAACGGAAAATGCCCTGCGCTGCTGTGGCACCTGCCCCTTCCCCTTCCCACAACAGACAGCCGGTGAGCAATGCTGCCTCTAAACTCTGGAGTCCTGTGAGCAAAAGTTCTGCTTTGTGAGCTTCTGACATTAAAGTCGTGAACGAACAAACTGGCTGCTGCATAAATTAGTATGCTCTGGGGCCATCCTGCCTGAGCAAAGACAAAAATGTGTGAGCTGGAGGCTAAAAAACTGTGAGCTAGCTCGCACTAGCTCAGCTTAGAGGGAACACTGCCTGTGCGGTGGGTGCGGCTGAGAAAGCTCTTTTGAGGACGGCTCATGAGAGACTAGTGCGGAAATAACTTGTGACCAGTGTTCCCTCTAAGCTGAGTTAGAGTGAGATAGCTCACAGTTTTTTAGCCTCCAGCTCAAACATTTTTGTCTCAGCTCAGGAAGGATGGCTCCAGAGCAAACTAATTGATGCATTAGCCAAATCGCTCGCTCACAGCTTTAATGCCAGGACTCAGGAGCTCAGAAAGTAGAATTTTTGCTCACAAGACTCCACAGCTTAGAGGGAACATTGCTTGTGACTGACCCAAGGTCACACCAGCAGCTGCACTAGAAAGTCCTAGACACCCACAGCTTAAGCCAGTTTTGTGCAGTGGTTAAGAGAGGCAGACTCTAATCTGGAGAACCAGGTTTGATTCCCCACTCCTCCTCCACATGAAGCCAGCTGGGTGACTGTGGGCCAGTCACAGTTCTCTCAGAGCTCTCTCAGCCCCACCTACCTTACAGGGAAGAAAAGAGATTGGATTTATACCCCCGCCCTTCAGTACCCGAAGGAGTCTCAGAGCAGCTTACAATCCCCTTTCCCTTCCTTGAGAGAACAGCTCTGAAAGAACTTGTGACTGACCCAAGGTCACACAAGCAGCTGCCTGTGGAGGAGTGGGGAATCAAACCCGGTTCTCGCAGATTAGAGTCCGCGCTCCTCCTAACCACTACACTGAACTTGCTCTCCAGAAGCGCAACAACACAAAGTTTGCCATCAGTGAGGCCGTATCGCCTCGTAAAGAACTGTCTTTTCCTTGCTTTTATCACTTCTGACAGCTCATTCCAGTGGAAATTATCTGCATAAGTTAATATTCATGTTGAAACGTGATTTCACAGAGTCGATAAATCTAGAAAGACTTTGAGTGTATTCTCTCCCCACCCCGCCCTTAATTGGATGTATTCACACTGTTTTGACACTTCCGCTGTATATTACATTTTATTTAGCCAGCTCTTTAGGAGTCTGAGGACTGGGGTTTGCGCTGATTTGAGGAGGATCAGCATTCTGGATTCTTTCAGTCAGGTCCAGACAACCCCCTGGCAGTGCCTCAGGGGAATTCCTCACAAAACACCCCCAAAAGCCATCAGTTGGTTACCCTGGCCTGTCATCTGGCCATTAATTTTTGGCTGCCCTTCCAAAAGTGTCTGCATACCTCGGTTGCCTCAACAATGTCTGAATACCTCAAATGCAATTTACTCTCATGTATACCTGTGGAGATAGCTTCTGGTTCAGTCTCTGCTTCTCCAGTTAAAAGGGTCTTCGGTGGCAAGTATTATGAGCATCAGAAGAGGCCTGCTGGATCAGACCAGTGGTCCATCTAGTCCAACACTCTGTGTCACACAGTGGCCAACCAGTTCCTCTGGAGGGCCAACAACAGGGCAGAGAGGCAGAGGCCTTCATAAGAACATCAGAAGAGCCCTGCTGGATCAGACCAGTGGTCCTTCTAGTCCAGCATCCTGTCTCACACAGTGGCCAACCAGTTCCTTTGGAGGGCCAACAACAGGGCATAGAGGCCGAGGCCTTCCCCTGAGAAGAACATCAGAGGAGCCCTGCTGGATCGGACCAGTGGCCCATCTAGTCCAGCATCCTGTCTCTCACAGTGGCCAACCAGTTCCTTTGGAGGGCCAACAACAGGGCATAGAGGCCGAGGCCTTCCCCTGAGAAGAACATCAGAGGAGCCCTGCTGGATCGGACCAGTGGCCCATCTAGTCCAGCATCCTGTCTCACACAGTGGCCAACCAGTTCCTTTGGAGGGCCAACAACAGGGCACAGAGGCCGAGGCCTTCCCCTGAGAAGAACATCAGAGGAGCCCTGCTGGATCAGACCAGTGAGGGTCCATCTAGTCCAGCCTCCCGTCTCACACAGTGGCCAGCCAGTTCCTCTGGAGGGCCAAAAACAGGGCAGAGAGGCCAAGGCCTTCCCCTGATAAGAGCATCGGGAGAGCCCTGCAGGATCAAACCAGTGGACTATCTAGTCCAGCATCTTGTCTCAAACAGTGGCCAGCCAGTTCCTCTGGAGGGCCAACAACAGGGCAGAGAGGCAGAGGCCTTCATAAGAACATCAGAAGAGCCCTGCTGGATCAGACCAGTGGTCCTTCTAGTCCAGCATCCTGTCTCACACAGTGGCCAACCAGTTCCTTTGGAGGGCCAACAACAGGGCATAGAGGCCGAGGCCTTCCCCTGAGAAGAACATCAGAGGAGCCCTGCTGGATCGGACCAGTGGCCCATCTAGTCCAGCATCCTGTCTCTCACAGTGGCCAACCAGTTCCTTTGGAGGGCCAACAACAGGGCACAGAGGCCGAGGCCTTCCCCTGAGAAGAACACCAGAAGAGCCCTGCTGGATCAGACCAGTGAGGGTCCATCTAGTCCAGCATCCTGTCTCACCCAGTGTCCAACCAGTTCTTCTGGAGGGCCAACAACAGGGCACAGAGGCCAAGGCCTTCCCCTGTTGAAGCCTCCTGGTTCTGGGATTCAGAGGACTAGTGCCTCTGAATGTGGAGGTTCCCCTCCGCCCCCATGGCTAATAGTCACTGATAGACTTGTCCTCCATGAATGCCTCTAATCCCCTCTGAAAGCTGTTTATTCCTGCGGCCATCGCTACATCCTCTGGGAGCCAACTCCACATTTTAATCACATTTTAATCAGTATTTCCTTTTGTCCATCCTGAATCTACTGTCCATTTTCCTTGGATGCCGGTGAATTCCGGTAGTCTGGGAGAGGGAGAAGATGTTCTCTTTGTATTGAGAAAGACCTTTCTCTGCCTGAGACCCTGGAGAGCCACTACCAGAGAAGAATGGCCAGGGTCGACGGACCCACGGTTACATTTTGCATCGCTTAAAGCAAGTTTGTTGGTTGTTCAGAAAGAAGCGTGTTGCTTTTGTTGTGTCCCTGCTTTGTCCAGCTGCTGGTACAGTGGGGAGGACGACTAAGCCACAGACAACTAAATATGAGGCTTTGGACTTGAACGTTAAGGCACAGATCCTCCTTACAGTGAAAATGTGAGGCTTAATTGCCGCAGTCAACTTTCCACTGGACTTGCATATGTCTTGCAGTGCCCTCTGGTGGACAGAATGCAAAGCGACTTGGTACCCCAAAGCGGGGTCTAGAGCAGATATTCGTTTGCTTCGGAGTCGCTCTCGTGGCCGAAAGTATTTCACTCTCCCAGCAGATTTAGGAAGTGGAGCGGTGAGGGAGGCCCATATAGCAAGCAATGCTCCCTCTAAGCCAGTTTGGTGTAGAGGTTAAATGCGCAGACTCTTACCTGGGAGAACCGGGTTTGATTCTCCACTCCTCCACTTGCACCTGCTGGATGACCTTGGGCAAGCCATTGTTCTGATAAGAGCGATGCTTTAAAGGTTTGTGTCAAGAGTTCTCTCAGCCCCACTCACCTCACAGGGTGTCTGTGGTGCGGAGGGGAAGGGAAAGGAGGTTGTAAGCCGCTCTGAGACTCCGAGTGAAGGGCGGGGTATAAATCCAATCTCCTCCTCCTCCTCCTCCTGCTACGGAGTCTTGTGAGCAGAAATTCCACTTGGTGAGCGACTGGCATTACAGTTGTGAGCGAGCAATTTGGCCGCTGCATAAATTCAGTTTGCTCTGGAGCCCTCCTCCTTCCTGAGCACAGACAAAACTGTGTGAGCCGGAGGCTAAGGAACTGTGAGCTAGCTCACACTGACTCAGCTTAGAGGGAACACTGATAGCAAGCGGCCGCCGCGGCTGTGATGATTTTGGCACTCCCGTCAGGCCTGTGGTGCTGGAAAGCGCCAGCTTACGGTGACTGAGCAGTGTTTTCCAGGAAAGACCGGTGGATTGCTGTTGCCTGCCTCTGCCTCACGGCCCTGGTCTTCCTGGGTGGTCTCCCACCCAAGTCCTAAGCAGGGCCGACCCTGCTTAGCTTCTGAGGTCAGGGCCGTACTTATCTTAATCCCAGAGGCTGGAGGACCTTGATATGTTGCATCCCGTCTAATCTCTTTTTCCACTGGACCTAGTGTGGAGCGGGAGTCTGGTGCAGGGGTTAAATTGTGGGGAGACCAATGTTCCCTCTAAGCTGTGGAGTCTTGTGAGCAAAAATTCTACCTTGAGAGCTCCTGGCATTAAAGTTGTGAGCGACCGATTCGGCTACGGCATAAATTAGATTGCTCTGGAGCCATCCTTCCTGAGCTAAGACAAAAATGTGTGAGCCGGAGGCTAAAAAACTGTAAGCGAGCTCACACTCACTCAGCTTAGAGGGAACATTGGGGGAGACCTCGATTCAAGTCTCCCTTCAGCCTAACCTACCTCACAGGGTTGTTGTGGGGGAACCCAAGCATACACCCGCCAAATCTCCTTGGAGGTGCGATAAAAAAAAGAAGAGCTCTCATCTCCAGAAGGACAAGTTAATGTTGAATCCACGGCCACGCAACCTGAGAAATTATCTCGCTGGCTGATCCTTTATTGTTCAAAATCTTGCATTTTCTTCCCGTTCTTAATTCACCTGGGGCTGAATATGCAGTCTCTGGTGCTTGAAATACTTTTACTGTCGATTCAGAAACCCTCGCTCCATGTTAATGACGGCTTTTTAAAATGCTGATTTTAATTTCCAGGTCTCCGACAAAGGGGGAATGAAGAGTGCTTCTCTAAAGGATTTATGTCCCGAAGACAAGAGGCGCATCGCAAACTTAATTAAGGAGCTCGCAAGGTGAGGATAAACTCTGCCGGATAATGCGTCGGGCTTAGGGCAAGATCCTCCATCCAATTAGCACGTTATGAAGTTTTAAGTGTTCCTGTTTATTAAAAGTCTGTGATTGCTCCTCTCGGCTGGCGCAGGTATTGCCAAGGCGGGGATGCAGACTAAGGTTGCCAGCTCTTCACCGTGTGCTGCGTGTGGCTTCTCGTGACACTAGTCCACGATGTCTTGATTATGGCCTGAGTAATTATGGCCTGTTGCGTGGTTCGTGTGTCACTGCCTTAAGAACATCAGAAGAGCCCTGCTAGATCGGACCAGTGGTCCATCTGGTCCAGCATCCTGTCTCACACAATAGCCTCAGCCAGTTCCTCTGGAGGGCCAACAACATGGCAGAGAGGCCAAGGCGTTCCCCTGATAAGGACATCAAAAGAGCCCTGCTGGATCAGACCAGTGAGGGTCCATCTAGTCCAGCATCCCGTCTCACACAGTGGCCAACCAGTTCCTCTGGCAGTCCAGCAACAGAGTATAGAGGCCAAGGCCATCATAAGAAGGACCCTGCTGGATCACACCAGTGGTCCAACTAGTCCAGCATCCCGTCTTGCACAGTAGCCTCAACCAGTTCCTCTGGAGGGCCAACAACAGGGCAGAGAGGCCGAGGCCTTCCCCTGATAAGAACGTCAGAAGAGACCTGCTGGATCGGGCCAGGGAGGGTCCATCTGGTCCAGCATCCTGTCTCACACAGTAGCCTCGACCAGTTCCTCTGGAGGGCCAACAACAGGGCGGAGAGGCCGAGGCTTTCCTGTGGCAGTGAATTCCAGGTGTTAATCACTCTTTGGGTGAAGAAGTTGTGAGTCCAGTGTTGGGAGGAAGCGCTATTGAATGTTGCACAGCCTACTCTAGCTCCCTGCCCCACACCCGGACTTTGCAACGACCCCCTTCCACTGGTGCTCGACCCCACTTTTCAGCACTTTATTCTCTGCTCAAGATTTCCGCCTTCTCAGGCAAGAGAAGAAATTTGAGAGTGACGTGTTCACAGGAAGACATGAAGCTGCCTTATACTGAATGAGACTCTTGATCCCCTCAAGGTCAGTATTGTCTAACGAGACCGGCAGCGGGTTTTTCAGGGTCTCGGGCAGAAGTTCTTCATGTTACCTGCTTACCTGATCCTTTTGGTAGGAGATTCTTGGGATTGACCCTTCTGCATGCAAACAGATGCTCTGGCACTCAGCGAAGGGTCATTGATACGTGGAATTCACTGCCGCAGGAAGTGGCGGCGGCTACAAGCATGGGCGGTTTCAAGAGGGAATTAGATAAACATGTGGAGCAGAGGTCCATCAGTGGCTATTGGCCACAAGGGATAGATAGGAACTCTCAGTCTGGGGCAAGTGGTGCTCTGTATTCCTGGTGCTTGGAGGGGGGGCAACAGTGGGAGGGCTTCTAGTGTCCTGGCCCCACTGCTGGACCTCCTGATGGCACCTGATATTGGCCCCATTGCTGGACCTCCTGGTGGCACCTGGTGTTTTCGACCACTGTGTGACACAGAGTGTTGGACTGGATGGGCCATTGGCCGGATCCAACATGGGCTTCTCTCATGGTCTTGTGGATAAACGTATGGAGCAGAGGTCCATCAGTGGCTATTAGCCACAAGGCATAGATAGGAACTCTCAGTCTGGGGCAAGGGGGGGGGGAACAGTGGGAGGGGCTTCTCGTGTCCTGACCCCACTGCTGGACCTCCTGATGGCACCGGGTGTTTTTGGCCACTGTTTGACACAGAGTGTTGGACTGGATTGGCCATTGGCCTGATCCAACATTGGCTTCTCTCATGTTCTTATGAGCCACAGCCCCTCCCAACTGTGCAAACTGATCAGCTTGTACATTTTTGTCCTGGATCTTTTGCTGTCTGATTGCTGAACCCTTGAGTGGGACATAGAGATATCCTCCTTTCCTTTGGCTCCAACTTGAGTTGTACTAGGAGTTCCCCGGCAGGCATCGTTGCTGTGAACGGCTCACGGGGCTCTCCTTTCCTTTTAGTCTGGTGTACAGAAGCCAGTTTGATGTCGTGGTTAAGTGCGCGGTCTCTAATCTGGGAGAACGGGGTTTGATTCCCCCACTCCTCCACTCGCACCTGGCTGGATGACCTTGGGCAAGCCGTAGTTCTGATAAGAGCCGTCCGTGAAAAAGAGCAGTTCCTGTCAAGAGCTCTCTCAGCCCCACCTCCGTCACAGGGTGTCTGTTGTGGGGAGGGGAAGGGAAAGGAGTTTGTAAGCCGCTCTGAGATTCCTTCGGGTAGTGAAGGGCGGGGTATAAATCCAATCTCCTCCTCCTCCTCCTCCTCCTCCTCCTCGTTGTTGCGGCTTGATTAGCTCCGCTCAGCTTGAGCATATCAGAGCTTGGAAGCTAAGCGAGGGCTGGACATGGTTAGTTTGTGGATGGGAAGATGGGGGTTGCTACGCATAGCAAGGCAATGGCAAACCACCTCTGCTTGCCTCTTCAGGTTCTTGAGAGCCGTGCAAAAAGACCCTTAATTTGGGGCCTTTACCTTTTGGGCATAGGGCTGCTGAGTATCTAACTTGTTTAACAAACCCGGGGCAATGAAGAGCATGTATATCAGCCGGGTTTAATGTGTTGCCATCAGCAGTATTATAGGGGAGATTCCCAAAAATCCCATTCGACAGTAGATTGTGTTCCTGCACTAAGCAGGAGACAGAAACTCTTGAACGTGTGTTTCTTTCGTGTACTTTCTACTCGGACCCGTGCCTTGCATTCCTCGAGCCATGGTTGAGAAAGTATTCAGGGAAACCTGATAAATGTAAGATTTACTTTTTGCCGACAACTCAGAATCAGATAATAACTGAAAGTGTTGGAAAATTTCTGTATGAAGCTTCAAGAAAGCGTTCAGTATTCCTTGCAAATTGAGTCTTATGTTCTTTATGTTATGCCAATCAAGGTCGATTGATTGATTGCTCGCCTCTTAAAATACCTGTGAAGCTGCCTTGGTCCATCACGGTCAGTATTGTCTACTCAGACTGGCAGCGGCTCTCCAGGGTCTCCGGCTGAGTTCTTTCACATCACCCACTGCTTAGTCTTTTAAAACTGGAGATGCCGGGGATTGAACCTGGGACCTTCTGCAGGCCAAGCAGAGGCTCTTCCACTGAACCACGGCCCCTCTTTACAGCTCTCCAGGGTCTCAGGCGGAGGTCTTTCACATCACCTGCTGCCTGGTCCTTTTTAACTGGAGATGCCGAGGATTGAACCTGGGACCTTCTGCAGGCCAAGCAGAGGCTCTGCCACTGAGGCACAGCCCCTTTCCAGTTGCCCAGAGCGCCCTGTGGATAGGGTTGCCATGAGTCTGCTGCAGTTCGGTGGTACATTCTTCTTTTCAGTGTCCATTATATTGCTAAACGGTGTCCCCTTTGTGTATTTCCAGTGGCGTTTGGCTGAGAATCAAAGTCCTAGCCGGACCTGATGTCTGGCCGGCCTGACAGTTTCTGATATTTGGGCCACTAGAGGGAGCTCAAGGCTCTTTCCTGACCTCCCGCTATTTTTTATTTCCTGTATTATTATCAGAATGATGCTCTTTCCTGGGGGAGGTTTTAGACTTCATGCTCAGGTGAGGGAACAGGGGGCTTTGGGTACCGTTGTGTATTTACAAGCACACAGCGATCCCCTAAAAACAGTAATAGGAGAAGGGGTTTTTTTGCTCCTTAGGTGATACGCAGGGAGACTGTTTAATAGCACCCCCTCACACCCCTCCCTTTCCGCACATTAGAGTTGATGCCCGGCTGAAAAGCCGATTGGAGTGGATTGGTTCTAAATTATGGGGATCTCAAATTGCAAGAGACCAATTTTGAATCAGATTTCCCATTTTGAAATCCATATCTTCTTGAACAATTACGTGTAACTGTTAAAATAGCCTAAATAGCTAAGTATTTGCAGCTCAATATAGCCCGAGCAACAACTTAGGTGCTTAAATCCAAGACTATGAAGGTGGGTCGCCATGTTGGTCTGAAGCAGGAGAGCACCTTTTGAGTCCAGTGGCAGCTGTAAGACCAACAAAGTTTAATTCTGGGTGTAAGCTTTTGTGTGCATGCACAGGAAAGCTTATACCCAAAATTAAATGTTGTTGGTCTTTTTTTTTTTTTTAATCCCCCGAAGGGTAGCTTTATTGATTTTTTATTACACTATGCAGTTAGTTATAAAGATTAATGCTTTCATTAAGTCAAGGAATTTAGGAGATTAGTTAGTCCATTTTGTTGTATATCTAATTTCTTCTCAGTGTGCACATAGACTTCTTCCAGCTCATCCATAAGTCTTTTTAGTTCATAAGTGCTATTTGGCAACTCTTAGCCGCAAGTCATATGCTTCTCTGGCCGTGCCTCCTTCTGCTCCAAGTAGGTCTCTGTCCGTCTCTTCCAGGTCAGCTGCCTGGCCTCCTCCGTCTTGCTGCTCTTCCTCTTTCTGTCCGAAGAATTGCTTCAACCATTCTTCTGCTTTTAACACCGAGTCGATTTTTTCTCTTTTGTCTCTATATTTGAATTGGACCCCTTCTGGAAAAAGCCAGGAGTATTGAATTTGGTTGATCTGAAGTGTTGAGATGAGTTCTTTGTACGCTTTTCTTTTCTGTCGAACCTCAAATGGAACGTCCTTAAGGACCCTGATACTTGCTGATCCCATTTGCAGGGGTTTGTCTGCTGTTGCTTTGAGAATATCATCTCTTGTCTGTCGTCGGAGAAATTTGACCACGATCTCGCCCGGCAGTTTGTTTTGCTTAATATATTTAGAGTAAGAACGATATGTCACTTCTATCTCTGCATGCGCTTCAGCCGTTGCAATGCCGAGCGATAGAGCGATTAGCTCAGCTGCCACATCTTTCAAAATTTCTCCTGTCGTCTCAGCCACCCCTTGGAATCTAAGGGTTTTATTCGCTTTGTCCATTTGTAGGTTCAATAGCTTCCTTTCGTGTAGATCCTGCTTTTGTTCCATCAGACCAACTCTTTTCTTCAGCTTTTTAG